CAGCTTGAGGCTCTTCGTCCAACGAGGCAACCACGTGGTCGGAGACCCTAGCGAGGGGGTCCGACCCTTCGTAGCAGTAACTCCTCTGTATGGAGTAGTTAGCTGGGTGGTCACCACCCTAGGCTGTATCTGGTGAAGGGGCAGTTACCCCTTCGTGTTACAAATAAATGTGTTGTCTCTAAAAGGAACAACGTCAGCGACTCAGTTGGACTCACTACGTATATATTGATAAATGCGTCCATCATTACACTGCAAAGTGTGTTCATATCTTAATGGTGCAGTGCATATGACTATTTAAATGTAAAGGTGCGGGACTAAACTTCCTCGCTTGAGCCACTGCTGGCAGAAGGGCCTCCACTGGAGGGCGATCTAGATAATATTTGGCCTACTCTTCCACGCTGGACAGCAATCTTGGAAAGTCCCACACATTTACCCCAGATTGACTAACTGTAATATGCTCGTTATTTTAACTGCCGTGCTGTGAGGTGGACCCAGTGCCCTTTGGATTGCAAGTCTAGTTTTCTAACCATTACAGCACGGCAGCATTCCCATAGCAAACTGCCCGACCATACAGCAAGATGTAGTAAAGTGTACATGTTAGCATCTTGGCGTGGGTTTTCACTAATTTGAATTTCTAATAAGACATTGTAGAGGATTAAATATACTTTACGATAAATAACAACATAATGTGCTTGCTATTAAACTTAACAAGATATTAGAGCAGCAACTGAGGGAATTTTATGATGGTATTTTGCATTTATCTGGCTTCTGTGGCATCTGCTTTCAAGACTTGGAGTTGGTCCCATGAACACATATGCAGAGTGTTTCATGCTGGCTACCCTTGGGAGTTGGCCAGGCAAATGACTGGGCATTAAACATCCATTATTTTCCTTGGATAAAACTGATTGCTTTTAAGAGATATACGAGTCTATGCATTGTGGAAGCTACTTCCCGTTTATTGTGGACAGACATTTTAGTATTTATGGCAGCATTTTGAGTGTTCAATCCCAATTCATACAATTGTCTGTATGAATGGCTATGTTTAACAACATATGTAAAAAAAATCATATTTAATCCACCCTACATGGGCATAGTTTGTCAACATGTAGTGCAAAACATACTATCATTACATTTAATGTCCTTTAATCAGGCCTCCTTTCGCTCAGCAAGAGCACTCTCAATAATACGATTTCCATTTCAAAACATAGATGGGGATTGACTCGGCCCATCATCCTTATGGGGTCAATAAAATGAATACCACTTTCTGTGAAGTGAACAGTAGTTATTCCATAGCTTGTGGCCATTCTACCACAAGTTCAGGGCTGCCTGTAGATGCTTCAGCAGGTTAAACTTTATTTATTCTATCATTTAGCCAGGCAAGTCTCAGGACTCATATTTGGCCAGTTACATTTTAACACTGAAAGATAATCTTACGTGTGGGACGAAACGAAAGTACTGCATCTAGAGAGATCCAACCATACACATACGACGAAATATCACTCATTGATCCACACAGATGGGTTCAGGAATACACTTGCTGTACTTGTCATCTCCAGGCCACTTAACAGCCCAACGGGTTTTGGGAGTTTCACCAGTCACATTGATCTGTTATCCCATTCCTCAAAAGCCCTGGATTATAGGTGTGCACCAAACAGGCTTTATCCTTGCAAAAGCGATAACGAATCTCAATGGGCCCTTAACTTGTTTAAGTGAAGTGCATTGAAATGAAACAATTAACAACCAGCACTACTGCCCATTTACACAACCCTGCATTTGGTCAGCATCATGGCAGGATGTGTGAGAATAGGTACAACTTGGGGTCTATTTGCCACAAGGCAATACTTGGTTGGCATATGATTGATGATTATTGTGGTTAAAAGAATTACCAAAAGATTGAATCAATACTCAAGCGAATGGAGGCGACTAAACACACCCTAATTGCTGGTATGGGTCATCACATGTGACCTCTGCCCTATGGCCAGGCATACAAGAGCTGTAATGTGCACGTTCATTATGGAGAATATAGGAGAAAAGCAAACATTCCCCTGTACACTTTAATTCTGATGAAAATGTATTACAGCGCTTGATGTAATGAACCACATTTTTCTTAATTGTATTGTGTATTTAATCACTGGTGCAAATATGTTTACAATAATGATTCGTCTGATTAATTGTTTTGCATTTAAACGGTGATTGTGTATATTATTAGCAAACTATTATTTATCAAATTTATATTGCCCAAAGTAAAATTGTCTCCTTGCTCAAAAGAGTGTAAGGTGTTGCTCATCCCTTCCAGTAGCTGCCGAGTCTGTCATAAACATTCCATATTTTCATGACAGGGAAGAGTCTCACCATAGGGCCAGCCATTGGTGACTTCCTTGCGAAGTGGGGCTTGCTTTATAAGTTGTTTCCTTACGGGGTTGCAAGACTTTGTCTGGAGATTTCTGCTTGGGATATTCAGGCGATTAGCACGGTTGGCTACGTACGGTGCGAAAGAAGCTCAACATGCATACATAAATAAGCCAGTTCCTCAGATTAATATTTTTGCTTGTGGGAGGATTCTCGAGTTCCCATAGAGAACCTACCCTTACCATGGGACTACAATCAAGTATCTGCATGCACGAAGTAAACCAAGAATATACTCACTCAACTCCTCTGGTGGCACTGTATTTTCCTCCGGATTGGTGTCTCGCACACCCTTCACGTGCCCACACCATGCCTGCCTCCCAAGTCACTGGGTTAGTAGCTTACACCGCCACACCTGGCAGGTTGCTATTGACTGGCTTTTTGATGAGCACACTTAACACGAGGCTCTCCAGTGAGACAGTGATGTGACCCCCTTGCTTTGACACCCCCATCACGTGTGCCTATTCCTGGAATAAGCAGATCTACTGACTAATGAGCTTTCTGTAAAGTGCTCACATGTGGGTGACTCACTGCCCAACCCACCCCCATCATATCAGGGCTGATGGAGTGGACGCTGATCCACATACATATAACAGACCTGACCTTTAAAGGCTGGCTCTTCCTGATACAAAGATAAAGATCCCCCGCATAGCCTGAACAGACTGTTGGAGTAAGTTCGGTTAGCGAGTACCTATGAAGGCCGGAACAGTATACGAGGGGGTGTGTAGCCAGCACCATGCCCGACCGCCTTTGTCTCTAGTGACGATGTTGACACACCACACCAGGTACTCATATGACGCTGAGTCTACCTAAGGGAGCCCCAGGACCGGTTCAAATATTCGTCACTGGTGTTGGCCATGAGCGGGAATCGAACTCCAGTCGCTGGGTTCGTAGCGCAGTGCGCCAAACGCTGCACTACCGCTCCCCACCAATATAACACAACAACAACCGCCATTCGCCCCAAAGTGGCGGTGACGTCACCACAACGCTTGTGCCAGGCCATGTGCACCTTGAGGCCACAGGAAGTGTCGAACGCTCGCTGGCAGGAGGTCACGAGGCAGACCCAGATGCCACAGATCGACTGACTGAGATGACTGGCTGATGCACCACCTGTGCCCCCTACTGTGCCAACTTGCTGTGCTTTAGCTACCCGGCGCTCCGCTCGTTGTGAGCGTCGTTCCTCCGCCCTCCGTTGTTGTTGGAGGGCAACTGCCTCCAAATGCCCAGTAGCAGCATCCTTCACGAGCCTCCTCCACAGAGGCCGATCTTGACACCGCTGGTACCAGTCATCGGCAAGTCCACTCAGCTCCACATCCTCCTGTACCACGTCACTCCATCTCTTCTCTAGCCCGTGCCGCGCCCGTTTAGCCCCCTCGATCCGGCCGAACAAAAGCTGTTTGGGCATGCGGTGATTGGGCATGCTGGCTACATGGCCCAGCCAACGCAGCCTTGCCTACCAGAGGTGCTCACCGATGGGACTTTGTCCAGATCTTTCAAGGATTTGTGAGCTCCTCACACAATCCAGCCTGGTTAAACTCAGGATGGATCGTAGGCAGGCCAGCCTAAATGTTTCTAACCGGCGAAGATGCTCAATTAGGGGGGTCCACGTTTCGCAAGCGTAGAGATAGATGGATAGATCCTTTATTGTCATTGTCACCAGTACAACGAAATTTAAAGTGCTCACCAGTCAGTAGGGAATGACCGTGGCCGGGAAGACCTGAAGCTTCGTGCGGAGTGACAGACCAGGTAGCTTCCACGCAGCGTTGCGCAACCGATGAAAAGATATTGCCGCTCTACTGATTTGGAGTGAGATCTCTGCTGTTAAACCGGAGCAGGCCATGAGCACGCTGCCCAGGTATGGGAAACTCTCCACTCGCTCCACAATTGCCCCATCACCGATTGGGAGTTGTGGGGGTGGAGTTTCCGATGGTACAAAATACCCAGGCAGGTGCTTAGTTTTGGTGGGGCTGATGGTAAGGCCCCACCTCTTAGTGGCAAGCTCCAGTTTCAGCAGCAGCATCTCCAACTCCTCCTCTGAATGAGCAGCAATTACCAAATCATCGGCATACATAACGTGGTTGACCAATAGGGAGCCATCCCTTGACCGCACCCGGGCATCGACCAGCCTCCCATTATATCTGTACCAAATGGAAATACCCCCAGTACAGCTATTTAAGGCTTCACGAACTACGTGGACAAAATAGATGTTAAACAATGTGGGAGCCAGAGGACATCCCTGTCGCATCCCAAGGTGTACAGAGAATGGCTCTGACTCCCGGCCACGTAGTTTTACCTGGGCCCGCTCACCATCATGAAGGTCCTTAATGATCGTGAGCAGAGGGTCAGGGACTCCGAAGCACGAAGAACAACCCAGAGCCCAGGCCTTCTGATGGTATCATAGGCCTTGACCAGGTCAATAAAGCAAAGATGTAGGTCTTGTTGTAATTCCCTACACCTCTGCTGTAGCAGACAGACAGAAAATATGGCATCTGTGCAGGACCGCCCTTTCCTAAAACCGCATTGGGGCTCCGCAAGCCTCTCCTCAGCGATGTTGAATAATCCTTGCCAGGACCTTTCCCGGCACACCCATACACAAACATACATTATAAACATGCAATGAAATGCTTAAGAAACATTGTATACATTTTTGCTTGGATTAACGTGAATTGTCATACAGGAATAGATTATGGGTTCCACTATGCTTAGTGGGCAATTGGCAGATCGCCATTGGTAGCCCTGAACTATTGATTGAAAATTTCCATTCCCATAATGGACACCATACCCATCATGGGATAAATTTGTTGACTCACTACAAAGCAGTACAAATTTTGTATCAACCCTGGCAATGGACAGAGTAAACCTTTCGCCTACATTCAAACCGTTAGCTGAGCCCTCTGCTCACAACACCACCCTGCTGGTTGGCTGGAGGGTGGCGTGTTGTTATGTGACGACGTCAGGATAAGAGAGCAGCTCTCCGCTCACTCAGGCTGTGTGTTTTCGAGCGACTATCTCAGCAGCCAAGTCTTCTCAGCCTGTCCTCCGGCCCGGGAATACTAATCAGCTGCGCACTTCGGTAAGGTTATTACAATTCCATTGCTTTTTTGGCACCGAAGTCGAGTGTTTCCATTTATTCTTTCGTGAAATATAACGTGCAATGTTAACACTCCACTGGGTTCAGAGAATCCGCCGCTGCCGGTGCTCGAGTTTATTTCTGTCGTGGTGTATTTTTGTATGTTGACACGGCAGTGTGTTGTGTAATAAAAAAAAAATTCGGGCGCCATTTGTATGCGGGGAGTAGCCGTAAGATCTTTCTTTTCTTTTTTCCACCATGACCATGGGTGGCTTTTAATCCATTGCCACAAAGAGATGTATGTGCCTTTGGTTGGCAAAAAAAAAATACACTTGGCCAAGCTGTATTTTAAAAGTGAGATGTGGCGAATGTGGTTTGTCGTGTCCCTATTTTATATTCCGTCTGCAGATCGCTGCACCACGATGCAGGGAACAGCCTCGCATTAATATGAGCAGCTGCTCACCAATATAACCGTGCATCTGGTATACTCGCGTGTCATCTTAGCGTGCGCACTTTTAATTGTGTGGACTGCTATTTAGCATGATAATCAGTTGAATACTGCCTATGGGTTCTGGTGTAGACTACTAATGAAATCTACAGTAATGCGTTTTTATGCAATAGTTCACACATGGAGCGGTATCTGTGTGCGTGTGTGTGCGCAAATGACCTCCAACGAGCGAGCCTTCGACCCTTCACGTGGCCTCGAAGTGCATTTAGCCTGGCACAGGTGCTGTGGTGACGACACCGCCGCTTAGTGGTGAACGGCGAGCGGCGGCTGCTGCTGTGTGCAAACGGGGGCGAGCGTGTGAATAGTTAGCACAACGCCACGAAGCCAGCGGACCCGAGTTACATTCTCGCTCATGGCCAACAACGGTGGTGAATATCTGAACCGTACCTGGAGCTCCACGAAGATTGCTTTGCCTTGAATGAGCACTTGGTGCAGTGTTTAAACATCAGCACTGGGAAGACAAAGGCGGTTGGGCATGATCCTGGACACACCCCCACCCCCTTGTGTGCAGTGCCGGACTCTAAAGGTTCACGGAATAACACTTGTCCCAACAGTGCAAGTAGGGTATATGAGAATCCTCGTCTCATGTGAGCAATACATGTGATACTACATTAGCACACAGCCAGCTAAGTGGTACTGTGGTTAGAGTGCACGGCTCCAAATTGGAAGTTGAGCCAAAATCCAAGTCAAACTCGACCCGCAATCTTCATCGCCCTTGGTTATTTAAACGAGTAGCACCTTATGGGACGTCAACAGTGGTTGTGCTGTGACATTGTTTAACCCCTCCCATAGGAATGTGTAATTTCCAGAACTGGCTCAGGGCTGTTAATCAGAAATGAGAAGTGGTGCGAGTGGAAAAACCACTCTCGCTATGTAAAAAGTCAACTGTCCGCTTGCCCAAATGAGTGTTGGGTGATGCCCAAATCCACACTGCTGGGCTTGAGCCAACAGTGAAACTACTTCTATGGCCGCTGATGACTTGGGATGAATGAATACAGCCTCGCAAGGTGGTACTCATTTCGCTGAGAAATGAGGATGATCTTGATTACATTGATGACGACTAATGATGATCTTATCTTAATTTGCTTCCTAAGTGGAATAAAATCAGTTCCACTTTATGGAATGTCAGAGGTAGTTTCATTATTAATAGACTGATCCAAACCACATAAACGCTAATTTCCACGACTGGGTCAGTGCTGACAATTGAGATGAGCACCAAACCCCATTGCTTGTTGTTGCAGGGTAGACTCTAAAGCCCGACTTCACATGAAACGCAAAGCTGCAATGTAATTGAAAGAACCGTGATATAATATAGTGTGATTGTGTGATACTGCGTTTGCAGTGGTGCACATTCGCACAATAAACTCAGCACATTCTGGCACCATGGAATAGGTGATGTTTTGGGCAAAGGCCCTTCCTCATAGCGGAGCAGTGTGCTTGGCACATTGCACAATAAATATGGAAGAAAAGTGCGTGACAAAATCTTGGATTAGGGTATTGTGCCTCCCACTCTTGTGCTGCCCCTAAACCTTACAGCCTCCTGTGGTTCGTCAGTTTCACAGAGGATTCCAAAATTAGCAGTAATAGACATGTTCTTTAAGTCTAGATTATTTAATTAGGCACCTGAAAAGCGCTAGATGGCACCATGCTTTGCGTGCAGTGCCGACCCTACAGGACAGGGTGTGTGGGTGCCGGCCGAAGGATGGAGTGATGTTCGGTCATGGCACTCTGGTTCATCCGGGAGGACACGTGACCAGTTAAGTCTACAATGGGGCCCCAGGATGGCGCTAGGGGTGGTCACGTGGTTGGGATCCAGATCCTTCCCGAGGATTCTAGAAGGTGGTCGTGGCAAAGGGCGGAGCCGGCCACGCCACAGAGAATATAAGGCGGGTCCCGAGAGGGACCGGCGTTGTTGTTCATCCTGAATAAACCTTCGTCTACGTCCTACGTTCAACGAGTCTCCAACACGCGGACCTGGACCCAAGCTGTTGGTCCTGGTCCGTAGTAGCAGTTACGTTGTCACTAGTGCAGTTAGCCTGGTGGTCACTACCATAGGTTGTTATTCTCTTAAGGGGAAGGTTACCCCGTTTGTTGGAAAATAATAAATGTGTTGCCTCCAAGTCTACATCTGCGACCTAGTTGAACTCATTACCCATGTTGTTTTATACAAAGTGACATCTGCACTTGCATGTTAGTGCAATTCCTTTTATTGTCAACGATGCTCAATTTTATTCATGGTTCACATCCAGTATATAATTCGCGCAGTTTTTTTTATGTATGTACATATATTTTGTATATGCACACATGCAACGGCATACAGCGTGCCTGTTTATTAGTTACTCGGTATCCATTATTTATCTAGGAGCGAGTTGATTGAGGCGCATATCTCTTGCGAGGAATGCATAGCGGACCGTAGAACCTAATCATATGCCGCCTTGCATATAACACCACACAGCTGGGCAGCATTGTTAAATGCGTCACACCCCTGCTGATGAAACTCGTAGAAGTTTAAACCTGTCCAGGGATTGTCTTGCCTAAACACATGCCCCTAGGAAACATGGGTCCAACAGTCTGATGTGGATGATGGACTTGAACGTTGATACATTTTGTTGGAATAGATCCTACTCGGACACTTTATTCATGCAGAGACCATTATTATTTGCGTGAAGTTTATTCATTGGTAATGCTCACATTTTGGATGGTGAGCACGCGATAACCTGCTCTTGTGAAAATATCACAGGGTCTTTAACGTTCACTTTACAGGTGATGGAACACTTTGCTGGTCCACCATTTAATTGCCACGATTGCACTGCTAAAGGTATGTTTAGTCCATGCAGTCTAAAATAATAATAATGAGAATCCTTTACCGAGGTTAGCCTCAACTGAGTGTTTGGACTTTTCTGGAGATCCTGTCTGTGATGCTGGGGGCAAAAAAAAAACAAAGTGTCTCCACGGCACGTACAAACACGGGCTGGTTGCTCACGGTCATTGGTGGCCCTTCGCTGTGGAAATTCCACATTCCCATGGCACCGGTCAGTCACACCGATAGTATTCCTACCGTCGCTTACTTCCCACAAAGTGGGCAGGGGCGGTGGGGGGGACGATGGGCGATGCGGACTCTCGACTCTGATTGAACTCGCGTCCTTTCAACCTGCCACTACTGCAGTCATTCATCTGTGCGCACTTGCTTCGAATGTTCCAACCTAAATGCAACACGAGCCACCTCGCTATCGCGCGATTCGAATGGAACGAGGCAGCTATCGCATCACGAATATCCGCGTGGGTGTTGGCCTATGTCTGCCCGACGCCCTGAGTGGGTCTCGCTTGCTGTCCCGTTAAATATTTCCCGTTCATTCCCTCCTGGGGGGGGGGGGGGGTAGCGGGGTGGGGGGGTAGCGGGGGGGGGAGCAGGGGGGTGGGTGGGTGGGGTGAGTGGGTGGGGGAGGTGTGGGGGGTGCGGGGGGAGCGGGAAGGGTGTGGGGGGGGAGCGGGGGGGGGGGTGTGGGGGGGGGGAGCGGGTGGGGTGTGGGGGGAGCAGGGGGGTGGGTGGGGTGGGTGGGTGGGGTGAGTGGGGGAGGTGAGTGGGGGAGGTGTGGGGGGTGCGGGGGGAGCGGGAAGGGTGTGTGGGGGAGCGGGGGGGGAGTGGGTGGGGTGGGTGAGTGGGTGGGGTAAGTGGGGGAGGTGAGTGGGGGAGGTGAGTGGGGGAGGTGTGGGGGGTGCGGGGGGAGCGGGAAGGGTGTGTGGGGGAGCGGGGGGGGGTGTCAGTCATCTGTGGCGCTTCGTTGAAGCTGCAAGGCCTCCTTGCAGCCGCCCGCCTGCCCTGATGAATCGCGCTGCCCGTGACTGATGGTTGAGAATTGACCCACTTACTTATCGACTCTCTCATCCGTTGGTCCTCATCGCACATGCACGGAGTATTACAGCGGAAGCTTTCAAATACAAGAAGCGTAACCCGATTGACATTGAGACGCGTGGCAGGATTGCACTGCACGACAAGCATTGGCTGGTTGGTGGACCCTTAATATTCGACGTCGCCAGCCTATACTTTCCACGCGGGGCCATGTTTTGCTGGGGCTGCTCTGTGTAGTCATTATCCCTTGCAGGGACGGTTATTTTGACGTAAAGCCACAAACGGTTGACATCTTTAACCAGAAATGTGTCTCGTGGGAAGGGACAGATGAAAGGAGTGAGGGGACTTAAATACGGAGTGTCGGGGTGTAGGAGTCGCACCTCCCCCCCTCTGCCTCATTTATAGAAGACGTGCACGTCAACTTACTGGAATGGAGCAAACTTTTAGTAAAAAAAACAACGCCTTGTAACAACTGCGCATATGCCTGCTGTATTTGCAGCAAGAAGCGTATTTCCTCCTGCAAGGTACCAATTTTTCCTTGCTTCCGTGCAGCATTTTGCAGCCAATTTTTTTTTGGGGGGGGGGGATTTTAACGTCTGAGGTATAAGCAATGTGTCGGTCAGAAAGTGGCAGCTTCTTCATTCA